TACCCTCCTATAAAACCCACTGATCTCCGCTTCCTACTGGTGTATTAGGTACATAGGCTTTGCCAGACCCCTAGGGAGATAAAGGAATGGAATGCAAGAGGGGAACTTACTTTCTTTTTTTTTTTTTTCAGTATATTATGGGGGTACAGATGTTTAGGTTACGTGTGTTGCCCTTGGTTCCCCCTTCCCCCCGTCCGTGTTTCAAATATGTCCATCCTTCGGGTAGTGCGCATTGCACTCCTTGTGTATACAGATACCCGTCCTCTCCTCCCTCCTCCCCCTCCCCCTTCCTCCCCCTCCTCCTGCCACCCTCCCCCTTTCCCAACATCCAATAGATGTTGTTCTGATATGTGCATTTATGTGTACTTACTTTCTTTATCCCTCCTGACAGGGAGGATGCTTATCCCTCCCCTTCCCATTGTTTGAAAATTATTTATTACAGTGGCTGTTCTGGCCGAGTTGCACACTCCTCCCGGAAAAACCCTCTATAAAACCCAAGGCTCTCCCCTCCCTTGGTGTGGACCCTTTTTTGACCCTCCACCCATCTGCACCCAGATGGTCAAAATAAACAGCATTTTGCTACACATGAAGCTGCATGTGTCTCCCTCTCGGCTCCAGACCTAATACCAGGGAATGGCAAAATGCAGATTTGTGACTTGTTGGGCAAGTATAGGGTAGGAAACTATGGCTTTCCAGAAAGTAGGAAGAAGGGAGGGCATGGTCTAAGATAATTATAGAGGTCAATGAGTGGGATCCAACACTGAGAAAATCTCGATTGTTAACTCCAAACTTTCCTTCATCTTTCTTTAGCAAATAAGACATTTGTTCAATGTGAAGGATATTTTATTCCGAACATGGTCAAATTTTAATGACAGTAATATTTCCTGTTACATAATAGTGTACTGGTTAAACTAGAATTAATTTGTTTTTCAGTTTTGTTTTTGCTTCCAGTGCACATGTATCTGCCTGGGCACACACATGTGTCCACATGTGAGGACCTGGGTACATGCAGGAATAGTGTGCCAGCCTCATCTCTCTCAATCTCCTCTGATTTTTTTTTGTGTTTATTATTATGGCAAAGTACACAGAATATACAATTAACCATTGTTAAAATGCACAGTCGGTGGTATTAATTACACACACAATGTTGTGGAACTGTCACCACAATCTACTTCCAGAACTTTTTCATCAACCCAAACAGAACAGAAACTCTGTCCCCTTTTAGGCAATAACCCCTCATCTTCTCCTCCCCTGGGCCCTGGTAACCTCCGTTCTACTTTCTGTCTCCGCGAACTTGCCTGTCGTAACTACCTGATAGAAGTGAAACCATACAGTGTGTGTCCTGCTGTGTCTGGCTTATTTCTTTGAGCATAATGTTTCTGGGGTTCATGCGTGTTGTAATGTGAATCAGAATCTCATTCCTCTGAAGGCCGAAGAATGCTCCATTGTACGGATGTCCCACGTTTTATTTATTTATCCATTCACGTGTTGGTGGGCAGTGGGGTTCTTTCTACCTTTTGATAAGAGTTGATTTATTTTAAAAACGATCCAGGGAAAAAAAAAAACAACTACATTTAAGCCAAAGTGGGAAGGTAGTGAATTTTAAACTGGGGAGTCACCATGGGGACGTGTTCCTGAGTTACTTTCTGTATATGTCATCCTCAGAACGTCAACGTGAAAGGGTTCAGATTGGTGCACTGGGGACAATGTCATTTAAATTTGCTAACATGGGTGTTGTTATAAGAAGTTTATTTTAAGAAGAACCATGTAGGAAATGCAGACTTGTGGCCAGGTGGCAGCCTGGGGTTTAAAGCTGACAGCTGATTGGACAAATGATGAGGGGAGGGTCTTTTTTGTGCATTGGAGGAAATTCATCACGGGTACCTGGGGCCCAGTCACCTAAAGCTCGGGGCAGAGAAGGACCTCAGGGGAGAGAGCAGAACCCAGTGCTCCTCTCTCCAGCCACGGCTCCCCTGGGCCAATCTTCACCCCGCGGGATGTGAACCAGGGAAGAGGGGTGTCTGTTGTTGAAGCAGCGGCCCAATGAGGTAGAGAAGCACCCCCGGGAATAAGTGAGCACCCCCATGGCTGTAGATCCAGGAAGCAGGAGGACAGAGCATGCTGGTGGGGTGCTGGGATCCAGCCCGGATCCTGAGAGAAGCCTGTCACCAAGGCAGGATGGGTGGTGCTGGTGGAGCTCACAGCATGGGCCAATCTGGGGATGTAACCAGCTCTATGAACAAATTTCAATGACCCCTCTATGTTTTTAAATAATCTTCCCCTTAACTGACTTAACTTGACCTTTTTGAGTTGTTTCCCAGAAATGGTAGAATTTCTGCAAGACGGAGTTGTCCTGTGCCCACGTGCACACTTCCTGACCCCAAGACTCACCATCCCCGACAACCTGCCCCAGTGCACACAGGCCCTGGTTAAAAAGCCCCTACTCTCTTTTAGTTGGGGAGACAAATTTGAGGCTGGTTTCCCCGCTCTCCAGAGAGACATCTTTCCTGTTACAAAATTCCTTTCCACCTTGGTAGTCTTCTTCCTTGTCTCAATAATTGACTGTCTGGGAGGGGAGCAACAGACCCCTAGGCTGGACCTTTTTGGGTTCGTAGCAAGAAGGCGGCGTGTGGGGGTTGGGAGGTGATGACGAGGTCTGTCGGGTACAATGTGGGGGTCTCCTTCCCCCAGCCACTGAGTAGCTTCTCCTTGGAAGCACTGAGAGGCAGCCCTTGAGAGGCCTTGAGGAAGGCATTGGGTGACGTGGGCATCTTGGAACCTGAACTGCAGTCGGGTAGGAGCCACTCCCGCGTGGGCAGCGGAGGCCGAAGCTGCAGCCCCTGCTGGCCTAGTGAGCGCCAGACAGGATGCAGAGTAGGACAAAGCCGCCACCAGGGCTCTAGGCTGCCGGCCACTCCCACACCACCCACTCAGGCTCCCTCGAGGACAGCCACACAGCCACCCTGTCCCCCACACAACGTGCTTTCCATCTTCCTCTCATCGCACATCCTTGAGCTGCTATCTTCTTTTCCCTTTAGACAATTTTAAGTTTAGTTTTTCCTCACCGTTGACAGTATGTAGTTTGTCCCTTTGAACTGTTTTGGCTTCATTTACCTTCCCTTAGGCTTCCTGACCTTGTATTTTCATCCCTCCCTTTAAACAATTTTATTATATGTACACTGCCTTAATTTATAAACTCCTGGTGTCATCATATATTTTAAAAATTCTTTTACTTATTTTTAAAAATTGCTGCTTTTAACCTTTAAAATTTCTCTTCTGTTGGCATTTTGAATGCCTTTAGAGCTTTTAATTCCAAGCTATACATCTTACAAATTTCTTGACATTTGCGATTTTTATTTCTTATAGGTAATAATTCTTTTCATTATATTTCTTTTTGTTGTTGTTGTGGGAGATATACATAACATTTACAATTCTAACCATTTTTATAAATTGTACAGTTTGGCGTCATGTGCGAATACAGTTCAGAGCATGTCCACAGTGTTGGGTAAACAGTCCTTCCGCCCCCTCCAGAAGCATTTCATCACTGCAAACTCTGCCCCCGTTAGACGCTGACTGCCCACACCCCACTCCCTCAGCCCCCCGCAGCCCTGATCTGCTTTCTGTCTCTATGAATGTTCCCAGTCTGGGCACCTCATATAAAAGGCATCATGCAATATTTGTCCTTTTGTATTGGTTTAATTCTCTTCTCCCTGTAACTCTTATTACTGTTCTTAAAACAACTTTTTCTCATTGTATTTTTATCTATTTATTTTATTTACATTCTTAATTAATTAGAATATTATCTTTATATTAGTGTTTTTTGTTTCTTTCCTGTGCTGATGAGATCACCTCATATGGAAAATTGACCTTGTGCCCTAAAGGGGCGGCTCCCTTTGAAATTTTCTGCTTGGTGCTCTTCACTGGATTTTCTATCCCCTTCAAAACTGGCTTTGCCTAGAAATCTCCCTAGATGACTCAGGAGACATAGATTGGAAATCCTTCTTAGGTGGCTGGGCGCAGTGGTTCCCACAGAGGCAGGAGGATCACTTGAGGCCAGGAGTTAGAGACTAACCTACAAAACATAGCAAGGCCTTGTCTCTACAAAGATAAAATATAAAAGGATTAGCCATTTGTGGTAGCATGGGCAGCAGCATCCTGGCTATTTGGGAGGCTGAGGCAGGAGCATGGCTTGAGCCCAGGAATTAGATACGCCTGGTAATTTCTTAAAATTTTTTTGTCTCGCTATGTTGCCATGCCTGGTCTTGAACTCATGTTCTCAAGCAATGCTCCTGCCTAGACCTCCCAATGTGCTGGGATTACAGGTGTGAGCCACCACACCTGGCTGCCTAGTTATTTGAGTTGTTTTTTATGCTGCTTTTATATCGTTATATATTTCCCTGTCCTTTTCTTGTTAAGGTTTTGTCTTAAGGAAGGGCAATGTTTTTGATTATTCAATAATTAAACCCTCTCTGCTTAATTTCTATGTGTGGAATGAATATCCTTGGATCAAATGTGATACTTTATTCTTTAAAATTTTCTTCCTTAATATTTGTGTCTAGGTCCTGCTAAAATATAAATAAAATGGTGAGATCAGAAAGTTAAAAAGGCTAAGCTGGAGTAAGGTTGCATTAATTAAGGAACCTGTGGTCCCCAAATTCCTGGCATCCTACTCCTCCTTCCTTGTCTGCAGGGGAAGCAGCCCCTCCCCCATGCATCTGAGCCTCCCCGGTCTGAGCAAACAGGGGACCAGCTAGCTCCCTTGGCTTTTCCCCAGGAATGACAAAGGAACTAGAAACAGCTCAGCAGAGTAGGGAAGACAGCATCTCTCCAGGATGCCAAATGCATTTTGAGGATGGATTTCTCTAGTTGAACAGTTGTGTCATCTTATTAAAGTTATTTTCATTTATTCATTAGCAAGAATATTTGTTAAGAAATGAATCATAATGTTAACTTTTAAACAAAAGAAATCTATTGGTCTTTTTGGTTTCATGCAATAGCATCCTGCTTCTCTCTGAAATGCAGTTAACACATCAGCTGGACCTATTTCCCGAATGCAGGGTGACCCTCCTGTTATTTGAAGATGTAAAACATGCAGGAGACTTGAGGGAAAAGGCCGTGGAAGGCACCATCGATGGCTCATTGATAAATCCAGCAGTGGTAAGTACAAAGTGTGAGAATGAATGAGCCCTACTGGACATTCAAGAATATGTTAATTTTTTGTGATGTTATAGGTCAGCCTAAAATTCTGTCATTATCAGGTAGAAATTCTTGTCCAAGTCAGACATGACCAACCATGAATTTAATGGTGAATGGAGGCAGAAGTGCCAGGCCCTGCCCTAGGAAATGGGAAAGGTTGTGATGTGGCTCTGACAAAATGGCAAATGCCTGGTGGTAGGTGACAGAGCTGGGATTCGAACCTGGACATTCTTTGCCTTGGTTTCTTCATCTGTTACATACGAATAATAATAATATCAATTTCATAGGGTAGTTTTGAGGATTAAAGAAAATAACACAGGTAAAAAATATTTAGTGACATTTCCCATAATATCAGCCCTCAATAAATGTCATTTCTTAAATTTTTACTATTTAAATAAGTTACTTGCAGCTTTAACATCCTATATATGATTTTCTGAGTACTCAGGCCTATAGTTTTTTTTTTTTTTAGACAGAGTCTCACTGTGTTGCCCGGGCTAGAGTGCTGTGGTGTCATCCTAGCTCACAGCAACCTCAAACTCCTGGGCTCAAGCAATCCTCCTGCCTCAGCCTCCCAGTAGCTGGGACTACAGGCATGCGCCACCATGCCTGGCTAATTTTTTCTATATATTTTTAGCTGTCTGATTAATTTCTTTCTATTTTTAGTAGAGATGAGGTCTCGCTCTTGCTCAGGCTGGTTTCGAACTCCTGAGCTCAAACAATCTGCCCGCCTCGGCCTCCCAGAGAGCTAGGATTACAGGCGTGAGCCACCGCACCCGGCCAGGCCTACAGTTTTATATGGTCCATAGGAACTGTGATGAAATAAAAGAGCTTGACACTGGAGTTCCATGAGGTAGGACATGTGTCTTCAGATTCTACATGGGTAATTTGTTTTTCTCTCTTTGGTAGATTGTTGATCCATTTCAGATACTTGTGGCAGCAAACAAAGCAGTTCAGCTCATAAACTGGGAAAAATGAAGACAAGAACTCTATCTACTGAAATTATTTTCAACCTTTCCCAAATAACAATGTAATGTCGAATTGAGTGACTTTTTATTTCTGTTGACCTTGTCATAATAACATATATCTTCCCCAATGTTGGGTTGGAACCTCAATTCCTACAACCTAGTCATTAGTAATAAACCAAAATAATAGTGAAGAGGGCTTTGGATCGAGAGTTGAGGTTTAGCACTGTCTCACTAGATAGTTACATTACATACGAGTAAACAATAGTTTAGCTAAATTAAGTAAGGCTAGTTTTATCTGTACTTCTTATCATATAGAGTCAGGAAGATCCCTCAAGTATTTTTGCTTAAGAAACTCACAGTCATCTAAATACTAAGACATTATATTTTGTGTGTTAGCATGCACATCTTTAGCATGTGTTAGCATGCACTCTCCCTGCAAACTCCTTCAGGGTAGGGTCCATGTCTTTTCCGTATACCAGGAACTTTCTCTAACAGCCTTTAATGCATCCTCACTCACATACCCAATGCACAGGAAGAGTTTGTGATTTGAAATACTCATAGTAGTGCTTTCTCAATAAAAACTAATTGAGCTAAAGACATCTCACATGTAGCATATGAAAAAGACTGAAGTTTTGCAGATGAAGTTTCAGTATTAATACTATTAATAATTCAACCAGGTACTAATATCATCCAGAGAAAAATTAGGAAACATATGGCATAGTTTAAAATATAGATGATTGAAAAGTTTATGAGATGCAGTTATTTCAGCATGGTAATAGAATTCCCCAGTATTCGGAATAAATTTTTTTTTTTGAGACAGGGTCCCACTCTTTCATGCTAGAACTCTGCTAGAGTTCAGCAGCATCATCGTAGCTCACTGCAACCTCAAACTCCTGAGCTCAAGTGATCCTCCTGTCCTAGCCTCCCAAGTAGCTGGGACTACAGGTGTGTGCCACCACGCCCAGCTAATTTTTCTATTTTTAGTAGAGTCGACATCTTGCTTTTCCTCAGGCTGGTCTCAAATTCCATAATTAAATTTACCAGATAATTATTGTTTCTTTGAGATCATTTAAAATAATGCAGGAAACTACTGAACTCAATAAACATCTATTGAACTTGTCCCTGTTCCAGTTACAATTCTAGGGGCAGAAAAAGCAAATACGTTCCCATGAAGAGGCAGAGAAACGACAAAAGTTAAAATGCCCTAGGACAAACGATATATAGGAATAGGAATTCAAATTTAGGGGAAAGGCAAAGAAACCATTCATTCTGGAGGCAGGAGGGTGTGACAAGGAGTGGCATTTGAACTGTGGACCTTGAAGCACGGTGTTCAGCAGCCAAATGGTGGGGAGAAAGACCTTCGGGGCAGAGGACAAAGCGTGTGCACAGGCAGAATGGCATGAAATGTGACAGGATCCCCAAGCAGTCCAGACTGGCCAGGAGACAGGAGTGCCTGGCTGAAGGGTCACTTAGGGCCAGGGGGAGGGGTGCTTTTGTGCCATCAACAAGTCTGGCCTTGATTCTGTAGGAACAAGGTGCAGCTCTAATGACAGAGTACTTTAGAGGCAGGACCAGTAGATGATGGAAAAGGATTACTGAAGCGAAAAACTAGGCAGAGAAAACTATTAGGATATGAGAAATAAGAACCTGACCAAGGAAGAGGGTAGATCAGGAGATGTTTCGCACATAGGAAACACTGGTTAATTGTCTTTTGTTGTTTTGTACTTTTTCTTAGATTTCTGAGGCTTTGAAAAAATTTGGTATCTCAGCCAATGACACCTCAGTTCTAATTGTTTACATTGAAGAGGGAGAAAAACAAATAAATCAAGAATACCTAATATCTCAAGTGGAAGGTCATCAGGTTTCTCTGAGAAATCTCCCTGAAATATAACAAATATTATAGAAGTCAAGAGGTTTGTACATTTTTCAAATTACTTGAAAAATAATTATATAGACAAAGAACTGTGAGGTACAGGTTTATGTAAAATATAATTACAAACATAGTTGACAAAGCATTCTCCACTTTAATTAGGAAAATGGATACTGGGTGCCGTGGCTCCTGCTTGTAATTCCAGCACTTTGGGAGGCTGAGGCAAGAGGATTGCTTGAACCCAGGAGTTTGAGGTTACCGTGAGCTATGATCGGGCCAGTGTACCACTGCAGCATAGATAACATAGCGAGATCCTATCTCTAAAAAAAAAAAGAAAAAAAAAAGAAGTAGAAGAAGAAGAAAGAAATCCTTCATTAAAAACTCTCTCCTTGCATTGGCTGGATGCCGCTTCCCGGTGTAACCCGGGTTGGGGCGGGAGTGTCTCTGGGTCTCTCCTTTCTTTTCCCTGGCAGTGGCAGTGTTTCTCTAACTCCTATGGTAATTGGAAGGTTTCCTACTGTGACTCCTTCATGTGTCTTTGTTGCTGCTGGCTTCCGCTTAGACTGCCCTCTAGTACCTGTGAACTAGGGTCGCCAGATGAAATACAGAATGCCTGAATAAATTTGAATTTCTCATTAACAATAAATACATTTTTAGTATAAATATGGACCAAATATAGCATGGGACAGATTTGTACTAAAAAATCATTTGTTATCTGAAATTCCAATTTAACTGGGAGTCTTGTATTTTTACAATTTATTTTTATTTTTTTT